GAAGAGCAGCCCGGAGCCTGCTGGACAGGGGAGGCTCCCATGGATGGGGTGAGTCTGGCCGCATCCACACCTTCCCCTCCCTTCTAAGTCCCCTCAGCGTCACTCTGCTCCCACAGTGCTGGGCATCTTCAGAGCAGCAGCACTACAGCTCACACGGGCGGCACAGGAAGTAATTCCCAACGCTAGGACTCTCTCGGAGTCCAAGTGGGTCCTTGGCTTCATGCGGACAAGAATTCCAGAGCGAGCTGACAATGTAAAGCAAGAGTAAGTTTTATTTAGGAAATATTGAAGATCTACTCCACAGAGTAGAGGTTAATTCTCCCTGCTGAGGACAGCACCTTTGGTTTTTTAATGATTTTTACTTAAGCACTGGCTTCATCATAGGCTAAGCAGGGCAGGAATATTCATGTTATTTCTTGGAAAGGGGCGGTGATTTCCTAAAACTGGGAACCCTCCCCTATTTTCGCTTTATAACGTCCCTCCCAGAACTGTCATGTTATCAGTGGGAGTTTCTTTGAGAATGCTAATACGTTATGACGAGGTATCATGAGCTGTTAGGTCAAGCAGGGGCTAATTTCCTTGCCATCTTGGTTTCAACTGGTCTTTTTTATTTTTTAATTTTATTTATTTTTTTTTGAGACAGAGTGTCACTCTGTTGCCCGGACTACAGGCGCACTCCACCACGCCTGTCGTCCAGCTTATTTTTTCTATTTTGTTTTAGTAGAGATGGGCTCTTGCTCTTACTCAGGCTGGTGTCGAACTCCTGACCTCGAGTGATCGATCCTCCCTCCTTGGCCTCCCAGAGTGCTAGGGTTACAGGTATAAGACACCGTGCCTGGTGGGATTAGGTTTATGTAGGGAAATTTGAGGGGTGACGGGCTTAAATACCTTAATGAATCACCTTTATTGCTTTTTTAATTGGCTTAATGTCATGTTGTAGTATTTTATTATTCTCAGAAGATTAATTTACATTTATCATTTTTAAAGGGGGAAAAAGAATTGTATAGCCAGAGGTGATTGTGGGGAGGGTGAGGACAGTGACAACTCATTCAGAGCATGTACACTTTCCATTTTCATGGTTGAAATTTTTTCATTAATCTAGCCATCATTTGTTTTAATTTGAAGCATTTTGAATAAATAACATGAAACATGCTATTTCTTGAACATGAATAGACTGTGTTTCAGAGTTGACATGATGACAATCCATTTGTTTACTTTATAAATGTTGATTGAATTTCTCATGGATCTTTAAGGACTGTATGTAATTTTGTTTCTGAAAATAAGACAGATGTAAATAACCATAATATATGACAAACCAGTATAATAAGAGAAGAAGGATAAAGAGCTGTGGCAATTCAGAGGAGGGAGAAATTCTTTCCAGCTATCTCTTTTTTAGTGGGGAAGGAGATTTGGGAGAAAGATCAGAGATAATAGGGGAAAAGTGTTCCAGGTAGAATGAACCCTGAACCAAAATATAGAAATGGGGTTTTAAAGGGACATTGGGCATTTTTGTTTGGCTGAAGTGTGTGTTTATGCGTGTGTGCACGACTGTGGTCGTAGAAGGAGGTGCTTGAAGGAAAGTGAGGGGAGATAATGATGGAAAGGTAATTTGGGGCTGGAACTTAGATGGCAGGAATTTGAACTTTATTTGGAGGCAGCAGGGAGCCATTAAACGTTTTTGAAAAGAGGAATGATGTCACCTAGCTTATGCTTTAGAAAAATGACTCGTATTTCTGTTATTTGAAATTTGAATAAGAGGCATGCAGTGTTTGTATCATCAGCAAAAAAAAAAAAAAAATGATAAAGGTAACATTATTCGTTAACGTTCTTTTTAATGTAAGTTTTTGGCTTAAGTAGAAAAAGGAAAATTAACGTCATTGGGAATTCTTGCAAAAACCCAAGGCAGGAATGTAGCTGGACCTTAGAAAGGTCTAGAACCAGGAGCTAAAAAGCTGTTGATAAGCTTCCCCTCCCTGCTTCCTCTCTGTTTCTCAAGGCGTTCACTGTATTCTTTTTATTTTTTCTTTGTAAGTTTTATCTCACTAGTTTAAGCCGAAGTTGGAAAATGACCTTCCTCAGTTCCTATGATGCAGCCACCAGGAGGGGGAGTGGCGCGGAGGAGGATGGGGATGGGGAGAGAGAGGAAGATTGCTTCTTGTTCATGATTTCAGATTCTCAGGGATGGGACTTTGATTTTATTGTGCTTAAAAATGAACTTATTTTTACCATTTTATAGCTAGTGTCAATCACCTATGGCCAGGAGAATATAAATACACTGTGGGAATTTCCTTCTGTAGATGAGAGGCTTAGTTAAGAGAGGTTAGGCAGAAATCCTGAAGGGTGTTTACTACTAGAATTATGCACTTTGAATTTTTACCATTATTTAATTTATTGTTTGAAAGATAGCAGATTACATTAAATTTAGAGAAGTAATATAAAAATCATGCAAAAATTTCTCCCAGTAAGCTACAGAATGTGTTTTTAAGTTGAACATCAACCAGTTGCCCTTATGGGAGTATGGAAATTATAGACTGAGAGGAGACACGAGTGCTGGAGTCCTGGAAACATTCTCTATCTCGATCTGGGTAGTGATTACAAAGGTTTATGTATGTGTCAAAATTCATCAAAATATGTACACTTGATGTATGTAAGCAATACATTTATTGCTTCAATTTAAAAGGAAATCTAGGCAAAGTTGACTTGTTTGATTTATCTGCCTTGCCTTGTCATATAGATGTCCATATATCATTGTAAATCAATTAAGTTCCCATTTATTTTAGATAGATACGTTTTTGATAGATGTTCATCTTTGAGTGTCTCAGAAATGAAAATATGATATTTTTAATGCATGATATAAAAAAATTAATAACTTGGTTTACTTTTTCCTCTGATTTAGGAGCTGTGACTGATGAGAATTAAAGGCCATGGATGAAGATGGACTTGAATTACATCCACAAGGGCCAAACTCATTTTTTGATGCAACAGGTATAACTATTTGGATTGTTCCACTTACATCTACCAAATTTGGAGTTGGTTATCACATGGATGAATTGCTAGACTGTCACATTGATATTCACACTTAGATTATCTTGTTATCCTGTCAAAATCTACGGATACTAAAGTGAGCATATTATTATTCCCCTCCTCAAAAATTTGGTTCCAAGAATGGAAAGACAAGCACCACATGTACTCACCATCAAATTGGTATTAACTGATCAACACATAAGTGCACATATAAGAATAACATCTAT